GATAAAACTCATCTCAAAACAGGTGACTGGGGCTACAACACCGAGAAAGAGAGAGCAGAGGCATCGAGCATTCCAAGGATTCAGGTTATCGAGCTCTCCACGTTTAGCAATAAGCTTAAATGACTATATACTCGTCGTAAAAAAAAAAAGTTTCCGTTTTTATTGTATTCTACGCCATTCAACGAATTGTAAACCAAAGTATGTCAAAGAAATTGTAGTTAAGATTCAGTGAAAGAGTTAAACTTTTCAGTCTTTAAAAGTGGCTCTCTGACCTATAACTCATCCTTGGTAAGATCATTCTTGTTACCATCATCATCTTTATCATCTTTGCTTTGCTCAGCTTGAAGTTTGTCAACAACATTTTCAAGTGGAGGATCTCCAGGTCTTCGAAACTCTTGTTTCCCTATCTTAACCTCATAAGCCTCTTCTTGACTAAGCACAAACTCCCTTAGCTAATTGGAAACAAAAAAAAAAAAGATTGATAGTAGTGTGAGAATTGAGATAGTGACCAATCTGGTAAACGAAGTTTAAGCATTATAATTATGTGTGTTTCTTCTTACCTCAGTCACGTCCTTTCCATGTTGCATATTGAACATCACAGTGCTTCGATCTACGGCCATGAATCTAACTCCAATCCCTCCTGTTTTCAAAACTTTTGTCCATTTCATAGCAATTTCCAACACCATATCCTGATTCAAATCAATCAAACATATCACGATTCAATCGCCTGAACCATTTGCAACAATGACTTGAATCATTTGAGAGAGATTTGGAAGTTTTTTTACCTTGGTACGTTGGACGCCTAACCGGAGCTTTACGAATCCGACGACTGGTCCAAAAGTACGTTTAGCCATTTCCGCTTGGATCTGATCGAATCCCATGTTAGAGAAATCAGGCGGTGGATCGAATTCCGGGGTCTGTGCTTTCTTCCCCCATTCTTTCCATGATTCGTCTTCTTCGTTGTCTTCGACGTCTTCTAGATCGTCGGAGATCTCGATCCGTCGGTGCCCTGCTTCGGCGAGCTGGATTGATCCATAAAAATTCGAGATCG